GCCGCCGTCCCCGCCCTGCCGCAAAGTAACCGCGCTCGAGAGCTTCCGCCCACCCCGCCACCACCCGTCCCCGCCGTCCCCCAGAGGAAGGGTGCGCGGAGCTGCCCCTAACAATGTGCAGTTTTCATGTCGAGAGCGTGCAGTTTTTTTGTCTCGGGAGTGAGTCTGTTACGAGGCTCACGTTCTTTAAACGCTATTGCACAACGTTGTCTAGAGTTTGGTATTCATTCTCTATCAAATTACAATATAGAAGCCAAAGATTTAAGTCATACGTTATGAGGTGGAAAGCTACTACTTATTTTCTGCAATACTAGTTCAAACAGCTGATAATCCCGATTTTAATTACTAATTTTCTAGGCAGCATTTAGAAGAAATACCAACGTACCAATTAATACCCCCTTTAACATTATTGGAATGATTTTCATTAAATTTGGATTTGTAAATAAATGCTCAATGAAGAGTTCACTCTCTTCCTGGCTCAAAAAAGTTGTGCCTATTTTCTTCCTTGCAACAAAAGGGAAATAAGTTACCGATTCAAAGCCAAGAGAATGGATATGTAAATGCAAGTTTAGCTTTAATTGATATGCTTAGTTGTTTTTTTAAGTGATCAAGAGTATTTAATTTGTTTTTGTAGACTGTTCGGAAGAGTGTAGAAGCAATGGGGAGACAAACAAGTGGTAGCGAAAAAGAGCTAGATAATATCCAGAAAGGGGAACAAATGACAATAGAATATTTAATTGGAATACAATTTTTATTGCATTTCGGAATAAATACTGCAATATTTGACTGCACAAGAGCGTGGCACTAAAATTCTCAGAACTTCGAAAAATACTCATTTACCCCTGCTTAGAATTCTGTACTCTATCGCAATATTTCGAAGAACACCGGTTATTAATTCTTCTTATAACTCGAAAATGTTTTTTTTTTAATCCTAAACACTGAAAACAAAACGAAGGAAATGCTATAATTTCACGTCGAAGAACGAACCACGTCAAAGAAATAGCTTTTAATGTGTAAAATTCAGAATTCATAGAATTGACTAAGGGAAAATTTAGTACGCCAAGAAGAAGAAAAAGTACAGAATATAGATGAAAAAAATTGTAATTGCTAGGACATTATTCACAAATACTAGGACTTAGTATATCATTGCATTTTCATGGTAAACAACGAAAGCAAAAAGTGACATATACAGTAAAGTTTTTGTACATCTTCTACTTTCTAAAAAAAATTGTTTGCAATTACCAAATATTTAATGATAGAATTAAAACATGAAATTAACTTCATATCACAAATATTCGTACATCTAATTAAACAAATTGTATTATTTTGAAAATGTTAGAAAAACGTAGAAAGATAAAGTTATCTAGTCTTAGTATGATAAAATCCGACAAATAACATTTTATTATTAATCATATAGAACCACTCAAAATTAAATAGAACGAAACAATCATAGCAATAAAATTATACTTTTCCAGAATGCGCACGCACTACCTCCTAAAACTAATGTGAGAATTGAGCTTCAGAAAATAATTTCAAAAGTTGAAATTTCATTTCTATAGAATTTCTATATTTAGGATGATAAAACGTTTATTGAAGAACAATTTAATTAATAGCCTCTCTTCGATTTAACAGTTCACTTTAATCAATTCGTCAAAACGCGCTTTACGTTAAAACACTGACTTCTGGGACGAAGCAGTTCTCCCTCATCTTTCATCAGTCCGTCAGAGCCTTCTCCAGCGGCTGCACCTACGCGGCTCTCTCTTCAGCAACGGGTGCCCCCCCCCCATTCCTTTGTGCTCGGTGCGGCGGTAATATTTCAGAGGGCGTGGCTGATGAATGTGGCGCGGTCTCGCGGGTCCCTACCTCTGCCCCCGCCCGCGACTCTTTACATTTATTACTCTTTTATTCGCCGGCGGGGCGGGGCGGGGCGGAGTGAGGCGGGAGTGGTACGGGACGGGGAGGGGAGGGCGGTGTACGGGCTCGAACGCGACCTGTCGACTACGGCAGACTTCTCAGAACGGAGCAAAAGAAAAGCTCAGAAGAGGAACCCTGGGGAGCTCCAGCTAACGATGCCTTCCAACCGAAGGGCAATCTTTGAGTCAAAGATATTTCACTCGATGGAGGGTACTGAAGTGGTGGCGTGAAACCCGAAATGGTATACGATGAACGTTCA